TGTAGGGTTAGCCAAAAGCAGGTTTTGATGTTCTTTGCAAACATTAGCTAGCTGCTAAAAGTCTCTTTTACTTCCCTTTCCAATAAATAAAAGAGATGTTTAATGGGAAGAAGTGATTACATGTAAAGTTGTGTTCATTTATATATTTTAAGGGGGAAGTAAAAACAATGATGGTTGATTGGTTTTTATAAAATTACTCAAGGTCACTTGTTGGGCACGCTCAGCTTTCGTAACAAGCAATTTCTGGGTCACAGCCAAAGGTGCCCTGCTCTTTATTTCAGCTTTCAGAAATGGCGTCAAGCTCTGCAAAGTGAAGAAATAGAGTCCTCTCACTTCCCTCTCATACTCAAGTCACTCTTCTTTAAAGCATTCCACTGTATATCTATTTTAAGCTAAAAATGGGGAGGCTGAAAAACTTGGGGCCTTGGCACAGAGCTAGATTAAATATAAACTTCACATTCTTTCATACAATGAAGCTAATACTTTGATTATCTCTTGCAATTATATCAGGCAAAAATAGCTGAATTCCTCATCCTACTCTCTTCTTCGTTTACCTAGATTTCCTTATATATATCACTGATAAAGTGAGGAGGGAATGCTTTTTAGCAGGGAATAACAATTATCATATTAATTAATTAGTCCTGTTTTAATACTCTTGCCAACACAAAACATCCATTTTGTTTGGGCTGAGCTTTTCTGCCATCATTAGTATCATTATTAGTTCCTGTCAGTAAATGATGTTTTTAAATTTCTACAAATTTGCTTCCATTCTTTAATATTTTGCTTGGTGATACAGGGACAAAGCCCAGGTTTAATCCCTGGAGTCTGCCTCAAATCCTTTGTGGAATGAGACAAGTTATATCTACATTAACAAAACTAAATCATTTATAAACAAGCCATAGGCAAACTTGCTTATGTTATGTTTTTCCTTAAATGTAACTATGAAAACAATCCTAATTAATGAAAAAGCTGCCTGGGAGGGTTTGGGGAAGTGGATGAATATGAGCTGTTCTGTCAGATGGTTCTGGGTTCTAATGCTGCTGCCTGCTCTAGAGCTGGAAGGGTTAGATTCTCTCAGCCCATACTGTGCTCTGGGAAATAAGGAGTGTGAGATCAACCTCACAGGCTTGTTTTGAAGATAATTTCAGACAACATAACTAAAGATTTTGGCACATAGTAAAAAAACAAAACAAAACTTGTTGCCGCCAAGTCACCAAAGCGTGGTGACCCCATGTGCTACAGAGTAGAACTGCTCCATAGAGTTTTCCTGGCTGAAATTTATGTAAGCAGATTGCTAGGCCTTTCTTCTGCAGAGCCGCTAGGTACCAACTGCCAACCTTGTTTATCGGTCTAGTGCAAACTGTTTGCACCACCCGGGTTGCCATCGGGTTGATTCTGACTCACAGCTACCCTATAGGACAGAGTAGAACTGCTCCATAGTTTCCAAGGAGCGGCTGGTGGATTCGAACAGTCAACCTTTTGGTTAGCAGCCGAGTCTAATAAATGTTAAAACCAGTGGTCATCAATTCAATTCTAACTCATGATTACCCCATGTGTGTCAGAGTAGAATTGTGCTCCATAGGGTTTTCGATGGCTGATTTTTCCAAAGTAGATCACCTTGTTTTCCCTGACTGTGCATATAATAGCTTTCCCAAGAGAAATTCCAAGTTCAGTAGAGCATAGGGGGTGTCAGGAAAGCTCGAGTACATGTCTTCGTCATTGTCAGATGCACACCTGACTGCATTTTTAAAGGAGTAGATGTCACATTGTTCTAGAGCTGGAAGGTGCCTCAGCGAACATACAGTTCTACTGTCCGCTTTATGGATGAGACCATTGCTAGGTGCTAAGTAGGGCAGTTTTGGGACCTGGGTAAACTGAAGTCCAGCAATTTTACGGGACTTAATGAGGGTCATTCAGAGGCCAATAGCAGAGTCCGGGCAGGGACCTTGCCTCAACTGCTTACTTATCAAGGTCAGTTCAGATTCTCCGAGTATTTTTAATAGGGGGAGTCTTGCCATGCAAACCCATAGCCCAGAAGTTGAAGATAATTAGCTGGGACACTAGTGTTATGTGGCTGTGAGTGAAAAAGAGTTGCTAAACAGAATACACTTTGACCTGGAGCACAGGTCACATTTCTTTCTTCTTGTTCACAGCAGGATTCATGACTATTATTGCATTTCTATGTATACTGACAATGGAGGGGAAAATTAAAAAATTGCTAGTGGGCCCATTGGATGTCTGGTGAGCAGTAGGGCGCCCCTCTGGCATTGAGCCTGTGGATTACCAAAGGATAGTCTCTCACTTCTTGGATAGTTTACCTTCGAGTATGATGTACATGTCATATTTCATAAGACAAGTCAGGACTAGTGACAGTGAGAAGTTGGAGGCAGATGGTGTAGTGGTGCCAAAGTAATGGAGCAACTGTCGAAATTGAGCAGTAACAGAAATAATGGGAGAAGTGATGAGGATGAGTGTGATGATAGCAGTAGACGCCATTGCATTAAATGCCTAATAGGTGTCAAACCTTGTACCAGAGGTTTACAAGCATTATTTCAATAAATATCACTATAATTCTTTGGTGGAGGAGCTCTTACCATTCACATTTTGCAGACGGAAAAACTGGATACCCAGGTAGGGTGTGTCATTCTAAATTGTGGCTGAAAGGAAAAAAAAAAACAACCAAGCCTGTTGCTGTTGAGTTGATTCCGACTCAAGGCAACCCCATGTGTTATAGAGTAGAACTGCTCCACAGAGTTGTCTTGGCTATAATCTTTACAGAAGCAGATCAACAAACAGGCCTTTCTCCCATGGCACCATTGAGTAGGTTCAAACTGCCAACTATTAGGTTTGAAGTCGAGCACAAACCGTTTAAGTAAACATCCTGTGGTTGTTACTGAGGGTGTGTGGTTTGGGCTTTAGGATCAAAGACTAGAGAGTTTGATGAAGAGGGCTGAAGAAAGCTGAAGAGAAATTTTAGAACAGGTCAGGGAAGAAGTGGCCTCCAAATCTGACTATTGGGGTCAAACACTTATTGATCACTATCTCTGTACTAAGATGGGGGTCACAAAAATGACTAAAGGCGTTTTAGCCTTTTTCTTCTCAAGTGCATGTTTAGCTACTTCCAGTCGTGATTTCTGGAAGGCAACACCAGTCCAACTTGATAACTGCGCACTTTGGATTTGGGAGTGGATTTAGTAGGCTAAGAGTCTTTGCTCTCTGCTGCCCCTTACCAAGACAGTAGATACTGTGGTGCCATTTCTGACACCCTGCTCTCTCCACATCCTTTGTCTACCTTTAGATCACTGAGACAGTATATAGGCTTATAGATTAAGTGTAATAGCAACATCCTCTCTGAGAAAATGTGTATGTGTGTGTGTGTCTGTGCATATGTGTATATAGGAAATTCAGGTACTTAAAGCAGGTAAGAGTAATACCCATGTGTGAAACCAAAAGATTAATGATATGGACTGTGATCTAAGCTAAACTGGAACCTGGTCTGAGGACTGTCCTCTCTAGGCTTTTTTAGACCCCTGGTGTCTGTACTATAAAGTCACAACTCTGAAAACTTTGGTGTGAGGTAGAAGGTCTAGTCTAGTGCTTTTGCAAGCCACTTAGAGGAGGGAGATGACCAAGAATTGCTCCTTCAGGTAAAAGTGTTTATTTATATGAGATGCTTTGATTATTCTGGTGTTATTGAGAAAATCTGTGGGAAATGTAAATATTCTAAATCTTTTTGAATAAAGATATTATAAAGATGAAATTATCTTTTTACTATCTTAAGTATTTACTCTCACAATATAAAATAATTTTTTAAAATCATATTCCCCTGTTACAGAAAAATTGAACTTTAGAGCAAAATAGTATCTGTATCAGTTCAGATTATTTGGTTCCAATGAACAGAAATCAACTTTCCTTTAAAAAAGGAAATTTATTGGAAAGGTATTGCATAGCTTATAGAATAAATAGGAAGTCTGGAAAACTGGGCGCAGAAGTAGACACTTCTACATTTCGGAGGGAGGTGCTGATGGGTGTTTCAGAAGCAGGAGCTTTTCCCAGACTAGTTAGGATGGCACCACAGGAATTAATGAGGTCTAAGTCTTTTCAGTCTTTTGCTTCAGATATCCTTTTGGAAATCTGAGCATGTGTCTCAAATTATGATAAGACATGGCACCTTGATTGACAGTCCCACTCAGCTGTATTCAATGGAGCAGAGCAATTCCTTGAAGAAATTAAGGTCTATTATCTAAATAAAGTACAATAGATGCTGGTCAACTAAAATGCTACCAATGCCATGGTGTTAGCCCATTATTACACCTCTTTTTGTCATAATTCTTGTACTTTCGGTACATTGTCCTCTGTTTATATTTTCCGTACACTTGTTTCCTAGGTTTTTCTCCCACTTAATTTTATAAGCATTTTTCTCTCTTGCTAAATGGTAAAAATAGAAGCCTTCACATCTCTTATTTAACCAGTCCAAGAATGTTGGGCATTTAGGTTATTGTTATAAAAATACTCTAAATAAAGCTCTGAATATTTAAACATATAGTTCATTCCATATTTTGTACTATGTCCTTATCAGAGATGAATAGAAGCTGAATGTATCTCATGATTATTTGATTGTGAGGTCCAAGGGAAAGAGAGAACATAGTCCTAATGCATTTTGGTGTGTCATATTTGGAGGGCTGATATATGAAATATCTCCGAGCTAAAGAGGATTTCCCTGTAACGTCTCTTTTATTATCATCAGGAATACTTTGGGAAGGAAGACATAGTGTAGGATTACCCACACTTGATAGCTAACCTAAATTGGCTCAATAATATAGTACCTCTACTCTCAGGTGTCTGATCCACCCTATTGTGCTTCTAAAAGAGAGGTTAAGATAAAATAAGTTTAAATCCCAGCAGAAGTACAAAAATGAAGAGAATTTCACCACTTTGAAACTGTCAAGAGATGAGCCTCATCCTCCCAGAGACTGACAATTTTCTTTTCAACTATTTAGGAGGCAAGCTGCTTTTCATGGATCCAGGACCCACTGAGCTCATTGAGCTCAGGGCCCACTCTATCCTTGTGTCTCATGGTGGAGAACTCCGGATTGGATCCAAGGACAAGCCCTTCCAAGGCAAAGCTCAGATCAAACTCTACGGGAGTGCCTACTCTACCCCCTTCTTTCCATATGGAGTCAAGTTCCTGGCTGTGAGGAATGGAACTCTTTCCCTGCATGGTGAGTGAGGCAATTGACCAGAGAAAATGAGTTAAGAGTTGTGTCTAGTCGATGTGGGGGCAGCAGGGAAAATTACAAAGCTATTAAAAAAAAAAAAAAAGAACACCTCTTGGCTACTAGATTCTGAGGCAACAAGGTCAATGGTCAACTAGGGCACAGGCAATATATCCTTATATAATTGTTCTGATTCCTGTCAAAGAGTATTTTATGGTTCCCATTTATTCATTCCCCTTCCTATAAGAGGATTATACACCCCACTCTCCTGCTGGCGAAAGGTCAGCAGTTCGAACCCACCAGTGTCTCCACAGGAGAAAGATGTGGCAGTATGCTCCATAAAGATTACAGCCTTGGAAACCCTATGAGGCAGTTCTACTGTGCCCTCTAGGGTCACTCTGAGTCAGAATGTGACTTGCAGTGCCTCCTTGTGGTTGGAACTCACTTCTCTGCCCCCATTCAGAGTGGCTTAGCCATGGACTTGCTTTAGTCAATGGAAGGTGAGCAGAAATAATATAACCCATGGCCAAGCAGAGGTTTTAAGAGCTGTTATGATGTATTGGCCATTTTGCTCTTTTCTTTCTGCTTGAGAATAGCCTGCCCCAGATAGGGGCAGCTCCTTCAACTTGGGAACCTGAATGAAGACACCTTGGAGCAGAGCTGCAGCTGACTTACTGCTGTCAGGCATGTGAGTGAGGAATAAACCTTCACAGTCATATTCCGTTGAGATTTGCTTTTGTCACTGCAGCATAACCTAGTGAAAACTGACTATACAATTACCCAGCATACACTGACGTTGCCGACGTGTTATAGCCTGACATCACAAACCCGACAGAGACAGCTTCATTTTATTGTTGTTGCTGTTTTCCCTTGTGTGAATAAGGTTCAGTTACGGTTCTGCTTAGCCCATTTATAGATGGGCTGGGTGTCTGTGGATTCCTGGGAGAGGACAGGCATTATGCTACAATGTGTTTCTGCTTAACTCTGTCTGCCTGCTGATCACCTAATCCCACTTTGCAAAACTGATATTTTTTTTCCTTCAGATTCAGGAAATTACCAGGATAACCCTTAGTCACAACTGGAAATATGGCAGGATAACCCTTAGTCATAGCTGGAAATGTGGCTGGATAACCCTTAGTCATAGCTGGAAAATGCTGAGCTTTAAGTTTGTGTCTTTCAGTGGATACTAGTATAATTTTGGTTACATAGCATGAAGCAAAGGCAGATAAAAAAATATGGACTCCAAATAGTGGCCCAGTCCCCAGAAAACATGATGTCATCTTCTTTGGCATTTCTATATTGGCATAACAAAATAAAACCCTACCAAACCCATTGTGGTCGAGTAGATTCCAACTCATAATGACCCTATAGGATAGAGTAGAACTTTGCCCCATAGAGATCGGTTAGCAGCTGAGTGTTCTAACCACTGCACCACCAGGGCTCCTTAAAACCCCACCACCTATCATAAAATAATTGTTATAGATATGGGCATGTAGCTTTGCTGAGGAGCCTGCTGTTTTTCTCTGTCCGGGTTCTATTAAAATAATTGTCTACTACAGTTACTATGAGAGGAGGTATGTAGGTGATTAACACAGACTTTTCCTTCTCCAGTGTCTTAGTCATCTAGTGCTGCTATAACAGAAACACCACAAGTGGATGGTTTGAACAAAGAGAAGTTTATTTCCTCATGGTCAAAGTAGGCTACAAGTCCAAATGCAGGGTGTCAGCTCCAGGGGAAGGCTTTTTCTCTCTGTCGGCCTTCTTCTTTTCGGTGTTCCCCAGACTAGGAGCTTCTCTGCACAGGGACCCCGGTCCAAAGGACGCGTTCTGCTCCCGGCACTGCTTTCTTGATGGTATGAGGTCCCCCTGTCTCTCTGCTCACTTCTGTCTTTTATATCTCAAGAGATTGCCTCAGAACACAATCCAGTCTTGTAGATCAGGTCCTGCCTTACTAACGCAACTGCCACCCATCCTCCCTCATTAACATCATAGAGGCGGGTTTACAACATACAGGAAAATCACACAGTACCAGGAATCATGGCCCAGCCAAACGGATATACATATTTTCTGGGGGACATAGTTCAAACCATGACATCCAGTTTTTCTTCAAGCATTTATTAAGTGTTGAATGTGGATCAGGCAATGTGCTAGACACTGGGGATCACATTCTGTATACAAAAGATTTAAAACACCTGTAACTACCTGGGATAGAAATACCAAATGCTTAGAATATTGACTTATGTTCTGCTTCCAAGGGTTTTTGTTTGTTTGGTTGGTTGTTTTTTCCCCTATCTTTATTTGCAAGCACTTCTGTTGATCTTGTAGCCCAGGATTCGTGAGGCTCTTTTGTCTATTCATATGCTACCCATGGTCTTCAAGTGTTTGCTCTAGTCCAACAGGCACTTAGTCACGAACCCAACATGTTGCTTTTTATCACTGGAAACTACAGAAGGACAGCAAGAGGGCATAGATCAGTGATTAAACCAGCCCATAGACCATCTGAAGGACGCCGAGGATTAGTAGGGATCCTCTGATTTGAGAACTGCTGTCTTATATGAGGAGTCCCTCAGCGGTACAAAAGGTTAACATAGTCGACTTCTGACTGAAAGGTTGAAGGTTCAAGTCCATCCAGAGGTACCTCAGAAGAAAGGTCTGGTGACCTGCTTCTGAAAAATCAACCATTGAAAACCTTGTGGAGCACAGTTCTACTCCGACACACATGGGGTCCCCATGAGTCAGAAGCAGTTCAAAAGTAACTGGTTGGTCACCCATTGCCGTCGAGTCAATTCCAGTTGCTGGACTTACATATGATGCCGATGCCACAACTTTTGCCAGAAATTGAAATTCAAATGAAGAAGAATGCAAACTCTCCTAATTTTACTCTGCCACTTTTCATTCCAACCGCTTCTCATTCTCATGCTCTAGGGTGAAGGATTAGTGAAAAAGTTCATAAATATGCCTTTATGGGCTAATGTTTTAAATGTAACCTGTGTTCATGATCCTTAATGTTTAAACAAATGTCAGTTTAAGAAAATTCCTAGTGCCATTGATTGCAATCAATACTGGGCAATTAAAACAAAGTGTTGTAGTTGTTAGGTGCTGTTAAGTTGACTGTGACTCATAGCAACCCCATGTAACAGAGTAGAACTGCCCCATAAGGTTTTCTATGCTGTCAGCTTTATGGGAGCAGATCGCCAGGTCTTTTCTCCCGCGGAGCTGCTGGGTGGGTTCAAACCACCAGCCTTTGGGTTAGCAGCTGAGCACTTAACTGTTGTGCCACCAGGGCTCCTTAAAACAAAGTAGATACTTCTAACATGTTTTGAGAATTCTGAAAGTTAAAAAAGAGAGAGAGAGAGATTGCTACTCTAATCTTGTGATGTTACTGGATATTGAGAGGGCAGATACCTCCTCTCCCTCTGCTTCCCTCCTATTTCTTGCCTTCCTTTCCCCTCTCCCTTCTCTTCCTCAACTCCCCAATCTCCTTTCTCTACCTCTCTCTCCTTCCCTTCCCTTCCCAGGGTTAGGTTGTCATCAAATAACTGCTTAGCCCATTCCCCAAAGCCCTCCCAATGTAGGAGTGCCCAGGATCTTACAGGAAACACAAAACTTGCCTGGTGAACTCAGGCAAAAGCAAGCTGTTTTCCTCTCTGAGGTGCTGCTCATTCATTTAACAGAAATACTATGTAGAAAAGAGTTCAGCCACTTGGATGAGCAGGATTCCCTTCCTGCTGTCTCTGCCAAAGAACTGCAACCACACCGTGTGGTTCTTCAGTCCTCCCCCTTCACCACTCCTTCACCATCTGATGTCTCAAACAGATTTCCCCTCTGGCATGGTGGTATATCATGGTTAAAATCGTTAAGTAATTTCACTGGCCTTTTCCCAGGGCCAAAGGTGGGCCTGGTGACACTGGGGCTTTAGGGAAAAACTAATTTTCTTTTGATGTCAAGTATGCAAAACAGTGAATGACTCGATTCACTGCTTTGCACCCAGAAAGTCCCTAATGACCCAGCATTCACTCAGCTTCCCAGGATGAGTATTCACGGGAAGACTGAAGACTCCTCTGGGGAAATTTCTAAAATCTGAATTTCTGGGCCTCATCTCCAGAATCTGGTGCAGTTGTCCTGAGGTGCATGTGCATGTCAATGGACCCCTCAGGTGATGTGATCCAGGTAGCCCATTGGCTACACTTGGAGAAGCACTGTTTTGGTGGTTAATAATTTTGGAATCAGAAATCAGTCCAGTCCTGCCACTATCATCTATGACCTTGGGCAAATGAATCTCTATAAAATTAGGAAAAATCAGCCCCCACCTCAGAGACTTGCTTGTTGTGAAGTGCTCCAGAGTGTTGGCCACACAGTAAACAGTAAGTATTCATTATTGCTATTTTGATGACATCCTTTTTCCCAAAAGCACTGAGCACCAGCACCAATTATCTCATACTTCCTTCTCTTGCGGGTGGAGAAGGGAAACTTCTATTTCAGTATTTGGGGTGGGACCAGCTCTAGCTAGAGAAGTCCCTTATTAGTAATTTTCTTCTCTATCTCCTTTCATCAGAGCAGGAGAGAGTTTTTTCTTTGGAGATCATGAGGTAACAACATTGCAGACATCTTTTGCTCTGTTCCCACCACCCACTGAGTGAACAACACCTTTTGATTTTAATCTCTCTTGATACAGCTGCTTCCTAGCAGTGGGTAACCACCATGATGGGCGTGGTTACAATAAAGGCTTCTTGGAAACCATTTGCATGAGCCCCAGTATAGCCAGAAGCAGAGCGCTGCCCAGCAAGCGAGGCCTATTGCATGCATTTTGTTCCTAACATCCAGCCCTAAGAGGACGGATGGATTCTAATTTAACTCCAGCTTGGGTTATATGGAATCCCAAATGGCTCTGTGCATCAGTAATGTCACTTTCCCCACTTCTCCCTCCCACCTCATTCTTCATTGTTGCCCCTTGGAACCCTTCTAATCCAGCTGATTTTTATCATAGATTAAAACTGCTAAACAAA